TAATTCCGCTTGATGCTTTGCGTCATCGATATACGCCTTTGTTATTGTAAGAGATTAGCGACCCGTGGTGGCCAAAAATGACATACTGTACATTTAATGTTTCATGAGATGTATAACCTTGTCTAATTATATTGATCTTAAATTTGATATGTTGTTTGTATTCTATTATTGCATCTCTTTAATAAAAAAGTAGTACTCGGAAGTATTGCGCATACACATACAGTAGGCTTGTGCACTCCCCTATAAATCATGAAATATGTATCAGAATTACATGATACCCACTTCTTTGTTTCATCATGACATACATCAATAAATCACAACAATCTCATGCTATGTACACAGCCATTGATACAGACTACAGCGGAAGTTATTTTAGGCTATTATTTGAAGCTGAATGTTAGCGTTATCTTTATCCTTTCTTGGTGTGACCGGGCCTTTACACACACACACACACACACACACACACACAGAGATAAAAGTGCACAACATTAATCAGTCAAATCTGCTTATTCTTTGACCTTTGAGCAGAGAGTATAGAGACAGATGTCTGAATGCGTGTGTGTGTGTGTATGTGTATGTGTGTGTGTCTGAGCCTTTCTGTTTTGCTATATGTGCTAAAGCCCTTGTTTTCATCCCTCCCCAAACCCCCGAAGATTAGCGAAAAAGAAAACATCTGTCTATACACCATTGCTCAGGTTTTCTTTCCAAAATATGACTTTTTTTCAATGCAATGTAATCCCTCAAAGCTGTTTTAGTCATGGCCCACCTCTTTCTCCAGGGTGAAAACGTGTTTGGTTTCTCAATTCAGTGTTACAATAATTCCTACAAAGCACTCTGCCTATGTTTGGACACAAACAAATGTACAATCTTACATGCACACTTACACATTCAGAGCTCGTATAGCTACTGTTTTGTAGTTCACAGAGACAGTTGCTCTGTTCCAAAACCAGCCAATCCTTGCTGTCCATAGACCTCTTTCAAAGTCAGCCAGTCCGTCGACCCCATCTACACTGGTTCCCTTCAGCCCCTCGGCTCCTCCTCTGACACCACTCTTCTGTGTGGATTTACCTCTGGTCATCTGGTTTCCAGCTCCGCCTAGTCAAGAGGATCCCCTGGCTCCGCCTCCAGCTGTATTGGCTCCTCCCTCCCTCGGCTCCACCTGGAACCATCGGTCTTACGGCTCCACCGGGCTCCCTCGTTCCTCCGGCTCAACCTCAGACAATCGCCACTGTGGTTCCGAGTCGGCCTCCAGGACCATCGGTGTTGCCAGGTCTCGCTGGCTCTCCGTCTGCGCCCAGGTGTCCACGTCCATCGACTCCATCTCTGTCCATCGTCAGCCTGTTTTCCCTGTTCCTGTTTGCCCTGTCAATGTAGTTGACCTAGTTTCCTACCTGTTGTTCATTTGGATCCTGTTTAGACCTGCTATTAAGATATGATCACAATAGGATCACAAGTGGACAATGCTAAATACAGGTGTAAACGGGATCTAAAACACTTTGAGCTTGTCTCTTTTTTTTTTTTTTCACTTCCAGAGGTAGTCGAAAACACATTTGACCGGATTGCTTTCGTAGTGTAAACGTTCATGTGATCTAATGTTTTCTAACAGCCACAAAAGACCGTCTACTCTCCACCTACTGACTTAATGCGTAAACATTATGGGAAGTGCACTAGCCAGACGGGTATTAAAGTTTGGCTGGAGACCCAAGTTTGGTTTGAACTAAGACGAAAAATGTACCAAGCACAATGTTCTCTCAACATTCGGCTGGTCTTGCGGCTGTCTCCGTATGTTTTTTCCGGTTGTGTTCATTTGTAAATTGTTTGAGCTTATTTCATACATTAGATTGAAAGATCTGGAAAAACAAACAAACATACATTTACCCGCCCATAGACCCTTCCCTCGATGTAAAAGTGTCTCCCTGTCTACTTGTGGTCCGATCGACCAAAACGCATCTTAATAACAGTTGGAAACAGGGCCTTGGTTACCTCATTACTCACTGTGTATTTAAGCCCTCAGTTTCCTCAGTCCATTGTTCAGTGTCGTCTTTATGTAGAGTATGCTAATTTGTATTCTCCTGTGAATCTCCTGCATTTTGGTTTTCTTATTAAAGACTTTAAATCAATACGACTAGAACGCACCAGAAACCTGACATATTGTTTTAATACAACTGATGACAAATTGAACGGCATACATTTAATATGTAAAATTATATCTGTTTTGCTTGCAGTATATTCTGGGATTGCCTCATCTGTGAAATAAACATTTGATTCTACCTTATGTTGAAAGCCTGGTAAATCAGAATTTCCGAAAACTCATCTTCCATGCATTATTATGCAATGGAATGCTTTTGTTGCAGAGGTCAGAAATATCAACTGGAATATCCAGTAAAGTATGGAATGCAGGATTTGGTCAAAACAAGTTACCTGGGAACGTGTGTTTGATATCTTAAAAATTAAAAATTGAGTTAAGCTGCTCACTTGGTTTTGGTTTTATCTGTCTAGAAAAATGAAGCTATATGAACTAATGTGTGTTTGTTTTTGTATGTGGTGTACTAAATCTCTCATCTACTCCAGACGCTGGTCTCTGATGTGTAATTACTCAGATCTGGGTCGACATGGACCAGCACAGCCCTGAGGGTATTTACATGCACAGTAAATGCAAACAAACACCACAATACAATCTCACTGCTCAAAACGTGTTTGAATACATGCATCAGCACAGATGCACACGGATCCAAATGTATGTGAATGTGGGTCAGCTTGCCTTGATCCCCCTCTACCCTGCTCCATCCCAGAGGTTAATACGACCCATATATAAACAATAACGCAGCCGTCAAAAGAACACGACAGGGATTATGTGCACAGATAACCAACTGCATTCTCCACGCAGGAGAGCAAACAGAGGGGAAAAAATGCAGAGTTTCTCTTCCTTCTCGTAAACCAATATTAATGTCATCCCAGGATCACATCACCATGGTGACAGGGTGCCGTTTGCTGAAAACTCAACCTTTCATTGTGTGCCATGCACCTAGTTTTATGCATTTAACACAAGGGCGGAAATGACATCACCAAGCCCTTGTTTTATGACAAAGTGCGGCAGCTGAGGACAAACATTATTGAGATCTGGGTTATGCCGTTGACACCTGGGCGGCTATCATTTATGAAGAGCTTGTTTCTGTCGAAACATTCATTAAAAGCATGGATTGGTTCTGAAATAAATGGTGTTATTATCAGTCTGGGAGAGATGCATTATTAAAGTAGGGTGACACTCGATTCGTCTTTGCTATTGGGATGAGAGTCGGCCCAGGAGCAAAGAACAAATCTGCTATTCGACACACCGTACAAACATATTCTTTTATACAAAGACTTTATCTTTTGAAATAAACACAGACATAAATATACACACAGGCATGAAAATTACAGTTACAGCAGATCGATCACCAACTCCTCATCACATATAAGTGTTGTTTCATGTAATTGAACACTAAAAGACAGTAATGGACCGTGAGTTAGTGCATTGGTGAACTGTACTGCTCATGAAGAGGTTTAATGTAGTTTTAAGCCTCTCAGAGGAGGGTAAAATAACAAATTAATTAAAATAAATTCTGTGGTTTAGAATAGATGTGTCTACCCTTTTAAATCAAGACAAGACCAAGGTGTCGGATAAGCCATACTAACTCATGGGCATTTATTAAAGGGTAAAGAAGCACCAAAATATCAATACGGTAGTACCAACTTGTCATATATTTTTGCACTGCCCATTTTTTTTATGTTATGAATCAGCGCTTTTTATCAGGACAAACTTTTAAGAACTTATTTAATATGGATTCAGAAAAACTATTACAAATTTTGTATTTTTGTATATTGTATTCATGATAATATGTTGTTAAACATATTATGTTTAATTTGTATTTGCCATGTAATAGCCGGTGATGCTGATATGGCAATAAACATAAATACAACGACATTGGTGGATTTGTTATAAAGTACAGAATAACTTGAAAATGCCAAAAATCCCAGTTGTTCGTTTTGATTAAACTAATTAAAGTTTAGTTAAACTAACTAAAATGGCATAGTATTACACTGTTTTTATGCATGTACCTTTGAACTACCTACCGTATTTATGTACCATAATGATACATACATATGTTAGGCATTTTTTTATCCCCCATTGACCTTCTCTGCAGGTTAAATCAATGCACCAGTAGGAGGCGTAAAGTGACGGTCTTTATGAGCGAGTTTGTTTGGAGCTATTTTCATTGGCGGAACAAAAATAGAAAAAAAAAAAAAAAAATTACTGGCAATATTGTCTAAAATGTAAGTTACCCATTAACCTCTTGTTTATTGCACTGTTGTGTAAAAGCAATTTTATACTTGCACTTGTGCTGTTATGAATAGATATTCTGAACAACTGCACTCATGCTTTTGTGATGTTGCTTAGATATAGGCCTACTCATATATATAGTGCATTTATGTTTTCCTTTGTTGTAGACGCCTCGGGTATTTTGGTCACGTGTCGCTGTCCTTGGTGCTGAAATCACGTGACCGGAAAAAGGTGTCAGTCAACGGTTCAAGTCTTACAGAAAAACATCGAAAGTCCAGCAGATCGAGACAAAGAACTTTGAGAGAGAACTTAAAAAGAGGAAGTAAATTGCATATTAATAATAATTGTAGTAGTAGTGATAATAATAATAATATCGTAATGTTGGCCGATTATTTTCTGTAGCCTTGTAACGTAGGCTACTGTTTTTCTTAGCAGAGGCTTTAATCTATAACACGCAAATCAATTTAAAATGGTTATTTCATGTATTTATATATTTGAGCAGTCATTTAATAATCAAAAACAAACAGTATTTTATTATTCATGTTACAGCCTACATTTAGATTTACAGTGTACAAATCTGAGTCAAAAGGAAAACACGCTCTGAATGAACGATTCAAGCACTGATGCGAACTGATTACGTTACGAATCAGAGAGAGAGAGAGAGAGAGAGAGAGAGAGAGAGAGAGAGAGAGAGAGAGAGAGAGAGAGAGAGATGTAGGCGACCCAGCAGAGCTCATAGGGAAGCAGGGAATTGGAGAAAGGTTCTTAACCTATTTTACAGGGATGCTGAACGTCATTTTGGTTTGTTAATCTCTTATTGGTAAGAGATTCACGACTCGGCCGATATTGATTTGGTATTTTGTTTGTAAGGGATGTCACAGAGGAATATTCAAGCTTCGCTGCTGTGAGGATGGCAGGACGGAGCGGTGGCCTTTTCGGATCGCAGCTCAAATGCCGCTTTGTTCGCCGTCCAGACGTGGATTGATATTTCATTCATGTGCATCTGAATTCAGTCCGTATAAAGACCAACAGCGTAGCTCTTCAACGCCGCACACACTCAGCACTGCACCGAGACCACGCAACGTTACAGGAGGTAAGATCCTCTGTCGGCACTAGTCCGATGGATAGATACTCATGCATCCTGTGACTTTTAAAACACTTTGTCTAATTGAATGCACAACACGTGCACTGCTGTTTCTACTCATGCTTTCACAACAGTGTCTTCCTGCCTGCAACAAACTGAAGGAAGTAGTAATGCTCTCGTGTGCTTATTGTTTTGACTTTAAATATGTCTCTCCTATTCAGCATTGCAATATGATGTGCAATACTGTAAAATCAGCATCATTAAGGCCATGCAGAACTAAATTGGACCACATGGAGACGGAGATAATAATCTGTTCTGAGCTGTCACTGTGACAGAGAGTAGGTTTGCTCAGGGTTATTATTTTTGATATGTAATTTGGCACTGATTACACATTTCAGGTTAATCTAATCCTATTTCTTCAGATATTACTCTTTTTTTTTGATGCCTCACTTAAGAGTAATCTTGTATTATTTGACAAAGATACAAAGTAGCAAAGAGCAACATATTAATTAAACCTTTATCAACAACAAAAAGAGCATTCAAGTGTTTTTAGTGTATATTTTGATGTTAATACCCAATTAGTATTATTTATGAAGGCTGGTTGATTTAGCATAGGTAATGCACATTTACTAACACACAGACAACAACAGTTCAACAACAGTTTGATTGCATGCAATGCAATATGTCAGTTGTTGTGCAACAGACGCTGAATGTCAGAGCCTGAATATGGCAAACATACAGGACATTCTTGGAATAGAACTGGAAATATGAAAATATTACAAACTGTCTCGTTTGATTCATCTGCCGAGCCAGTTCATTTTAGTAGTAGTAGATTTTTGAGATTCTGTCATCAAAAAACGGTTGAAAATGGTCATACAACTGACAGCTTTGTTAAAGCATAGAGCACATTTTATGATTTGAGATGTATTTAGTGAATTTTGAGGTAATATTGTGTAAATAAGTGGCAATATATATGAGTGAAAATATAGCAGATTTGTCTTTAAATTGTGGTTGACTAATATGGCTGATGCTGACACTGATCTGTGAGCTATGTTAAAATATACAATGTATTTGTTCTTGGCTACAGAGCAAGTATGAACTTACTACTGCTAGTAGATTAGGCCCCGTTTACACCTGGATGCGTTTTGGTCGATCGGATCACAAGTAGACGAGGGAGACACATACCCGTTTACACCTGGTGTTTTAATCCATCTCTTTTGTCCACTTTCAACCACTTCTGTCCTGATTTCTTCGAGGGAAGGGTCTTTAGGCGGGTACATGTATGGACTTTTTCAGATCTTTCAATCTAATGGACGAAATAAGCTCACGCAATTTACACAGGAACGCAACCGGAGACAACAGAAAAACACATGGAGAGCATCAGCAAGACCAGCCGAACACTGTGAGTGTGTGTTAGAAATCAGGAATGATGAGAGAACATTGGGCTTGGTGTGTTTTTCGTCTTCAAACCAAACTTGGGTCTTTAGCTGACAAGTCTTTTCCCGTCTGTCTAGCGCACATCCCATAATGTTAAGCGGTAGGTCAGTAGACGAAGAGTCTTTTGTGGCTGTTCTAACACATTCAATCTACACGATATGAAAGCAATCCGGTCAAATACATTTTCGACTACCTCTGGAAGTGGTCAAAAGTAGACAAGCTCAAAAGGTTTTACACCTGTATTTAGCGTCGTCCACTTGTGATTGACCAAAAAGCATCTTAATACCAGGTGTAAACAGGGCCGAAGACACACTGCTGTTAGCATGTAAGACATGCTGCATAAATAGACATCCATAAAACCAGTAGCAGATCTAGGCAGGTGGAGCTGGGGGAGGTGGAGGGTTTCAGAGAAACTCTGATAGCGCGCTGCAGGACTAGCTTAGAGCAAACAATGAACCAGACTATTCAATTTTGAGCAGGCAATCTCATTGGCTGCAGGATCAGCAGAGGCCAATCAGCTTGTGCCACGTGGTAATGATGTGATTGCTTTGCATACTGCATGCAAAGGACCTCTAGAGTCTCATGACTGACCTATACATTATAATAAATAAATAAATAATAATAATAAATAATATTCCATTATTATTATTATTATATTACATGGATTTAGATCAGTATCAGCAATATTGGTTAACCATAATTTTATTCGGAATCTACTGAGCAGTTGTTTTAAAAAGATGTAGTGAATCATACACTGCAAGAGAAAAATCCATATAAGTACTAGTAATTTTCTGCCTGCACATTATCTGTTAGGATAAACACCAATATGGAATATTTTCTGCATATCAACAGGGAACATTGGGTCCTATTTTTTACAAGATTTTCTTAGAATGTATAGAATCCGCTGTTATATTTTAAAAGACATATTGCATGTGGATTTGAGACTCAATTTCCTTTTTCCAATTTCCAATTCTTAATAAAGGCGCTCAGAAAGGCATGTGAATTATGGCACACAGAGCTGGAAGTTGAGCTACAGGTGATTTAGTGATGATGCTGGTTTAATTTTCCAGGCTTTATCTGACTGTATGGCTGGAAGTCCAGCGTAGAAGCACAAGAGCCCAGTGTCACACACACACAATGAGCATGCAGAGAATAATAGAGCAGCGATCGATACAAACCAGCCAGCAAGGCTCTCTGCACATGTGTGGATCCTGTAGTGTTACAACATTTGTACAGAACAATGGAGGTTTGTGTGTGATTGGCAGTCAAATGTAGTGGGTGTTTGATCAGCCATGCAAATATTTTGCTTAAAGTTATTAAATATACTTTGCTTAAATAAAATCAAGCTTATTTATTTATTTTATTTCCATTATTTTAGGACCATTACTGCATTATGATATTGTTTTCTTGACAATTAAGTTGTTAATTCTCTCTCCCAGTTATCGTTACTGTAATGTCTCATAATTGTTTTGCAATAAAGTCAAATAAAATATATAGTGATCAAATAATAATAATAACAATTAAATAAACAACAATAATAACATTATTATTATGTAAATTATGGTATTATTTTTGCACTGCCTTTAATTTGTGCTGATTTAAATAAAAACATCTGCAATTTGTGTGACACTACACAAAATACTGTATTACAGTAATGAGAATTTAATGAGAATCATTATAGAGAATAATGAGAATTTTAAAAAAAAAATACAACGTCTGGGTGCATTATGGTAATGAGAATTTCGGGGGAAATTTGCTTAATTTAATATTCATGAAAATAATACAACACTGCCATATAGATAGGCTTTATTTCCTTTATAGAAAATGTAATTTCTTATGACTTTGGGGTGAAATGCGACCTGGACGCGATATTTTTTCCCCCAGGATGGATGGGGAAGGTACCGCCTTTTTCCCCTCTGATTGGCTAGAAGGGTTCTCCTCCGATTGGTTATTTGATTTGGGTTAGTGTGTGTGTGATGGGTAGGTTTAGGGGTCGGGTTAGTGTGTGTGTGTGATGGGTAGGTTTAGGGGTCGGGTTAGTGTGTGTGTGTGATCGGTAGGTTTAGAGGTTGTGTGTGTGTAGTGTGTGTGTATACGTGTAACTTCTCATCTGAAGAGATGACGTTTCACGGCCAAATCAAATAACCATTAGGAGGAGAGCCCTTCTAGCCAATCAAAGGCGAAAAAGGCGGTACCTTCCCCTACCATCCTGGGGGGGAAAAATATCGCGACCTGGGCATGTTTTCGTGAGATTCGTTCTCAGGTTTCCCACAATATATTAATTTGCATCTTAAAGGGTTAATTCACCCAAAAATCCTTAAAGGGACACTTCACCCATTTGCATTAAGCTTTGTATTGTTAGAAACCCAGTCATATATTATAATGGTCGTGGATTTTTCCTTTATTTTTCCCTGAGATGGGAGAAATAAGGATTTAAGTGTTTTACTTCCTGCTTATTGTGACGTAAAAATCGTCATTTTGCGTCACAATAAGCAGGAAGTCACATTTCATTGAAAAGTGTAGAGACTACAAACACAAGCTCATCATTTATTCAGGGTGTGGGACCCACTCACGCTACAGACCTATTATAGATCAGTGGGTGGGACTTCACTTGCAGATACAGAAAGCAATATCAGCCATCTTGTTTGGAAGCTAAGCTAACAAGCGCTGTGGAGATAGGAAGCTACGACAATGACGGAAGAAACTAAACATGATATGGAAGAAGAGGATTTTGAAATTCTGCTGCTCGAATCCGGTGTTCGTGGCTATCTTTACGAGCCGCGATATAGTGAAGAGCAGCTGAGGAAGATGGAGGAACAGGAGGCGGACGAGGAGCCCGGACTGGCTCGAGCTGGGCGGACTGATGGTGCCTGTGCTCTTGCTGTGCGCTACGGACACAGATAGAGTCCGTCTGCTGCAGAGAATTTCAACGATCGCAATTTTTTTTTCCTGGACGAAATCTCTGAATCAGACGAGCACATGGACGTTTGTGTTGTGATGTGAACCATCCTAGTTTCGCACCGCATATGTTCTGACTGGCACATCCAGGTATTATGCTATAATTCACCATATATATAGAAAGAAATAGAAACGAGGAGTAATTCACTAATGAGTTTGCCAATGTAACGGGGTTCATTGTTGTGGGAAGAATGAGGCGGGAACCGGCAAACATTTAAACATTTTAATAGTAAAATAAACAAATACAAAACAAAAGTATAAGCCAGCAGCCCCTCACTGTTGGCCACACACAACAGAAACAAAACACAACATAAAATCAGGCCTGTTCCTCTCTCGATCTGCCCTGTCGTCGCTCCTCGTTTTATGCTTCCGCTCCTCGGTGAGAGATGCGAGAGAGACCGGGTCTCACAGGTGTCGTTCATTATAACTCGCGCCACTGGCCTCGCGCCATCCTCTCACGTCCCTCGCCCTCGTCCTGCTCGCCACAGCCAACTAACTAGAAATTTTGTGTGAAATGAATTTCTAACTCTGGTGGCAGCTAACGTTAGCCTTGTAGACAGAAGAGTGATTTCTCTGATGTTTGCGCTGTTCTGGATTAGTGGGAGTGGCTTGCG